AGTCATAGTGAAGTATGCCTCCACTGAGAGACAGTCTGAATATGGTGGTCAATAGGCCGGCTCCCTGAACAGCCTTAGGTGCAGCTCGTCCGGACCCGTCGATTTCTCCACGTCGAGATTACTCAATATTCAAAATGCATCACCGCGTTCGATATTCACAGAGTTTATTCTTATTATTATTATTAGTCCCTTGGGTTCCTAGTGGAACATAGGGCTTCAGTAGCACGCCTCCAGTGACCTCTGTTCTCTGAGATCTTTTGAACCTGGTTCCACGACAGCCCAGAAGCTCTCATTTCCTCCTCGCATGACCTCCTCCATGTCACCCTCGGACGTCCAACTCGTCGCTTCCCATGGGGATTCCACTCGAGGGCCTGACGCGTGATGTCCTCAGTCGGCCTTCTCAGTGCATGGCCAATCCATCTCCACTTCTTCCTGCATATTTGTTGCGTGATAGGTTCTTGGTTGGTTCGTTCCCAGAGTTCCTTGTTGCTTATTTTTTCTGGCCATCTGATCTTCAGCAGCGAGCGTAAGCAGTTGTTGATGAATGTCTGTAGTTTATTGGAAATGCCTTTCGTGACGCGCCAAGTCTCTGAGCCATACAAGAGCACTGACTTGACGTTGGTGTTGAAAATCCGTATCTTGTTCCACATGCTGAGTGCAGAAGATCTCCACACTGGTTTCAGGCTAATGAACGCCTGTCTTGCTTTTCCGATTCTGACTTTGACGTCCTCGTCCGTCCCGCCTGTAGTTGAAACAGTGCTTCCTAGATAAGTGAAGGAGGTTACTTCCTTCAAGTTTCTCCCGTTGACGGTGATTGGAGTTTGTTGTTGTTGTTGATGGTGGTGGTGCGGTATCTTCATCACTTCTGTCTTCTCTATATTCACCTGAAGTCCCGTCTTGGCTGCCTCTTCTGTCAACTTGTTAGTTTTTGCCTGCAGATCTTCAAGTTTATGTGACATTAGGCATAAGTCATCGGCGAAATCCAAGTCTTCTAGGTTCTTTTCCGTCGTCCAGTGTATCCCCCTCTTCTCGCTGCCTACTGTTTGCTGCATGATCCAGTCCACCACAATAAGGAATATCATGGGGGATAGTAGGCAACCTTGTTTCACTCCTGTCTTCACTTCAAAGGCATCACTGAGCTTCCCATTGTGGATTACTTGGCATGTGGCATCTTCATATAGTTGTTGAATGAGGCGGATAAAGGTTTGCGGTACTCCGTAGTATTGAAGCAGTTTCCAAATTACTTCTCGGTCGACGCTGTCAAAGGCCTTCTCAAAGTCGATGAAGTTGAGGTATAGAGCTGATTGCCATTCTACGCTCTGTTCTATGATGATACGAAGCGTTGCAATTTGGTCTGCACATGATTTGTACTTCCTGAAGCCTGCCTGTTCCGGTCGCAGTTTTGAATCCAGTGCATCTCTAAGCCTCTCCAGGATGATGCGGCTTAATATTTTACTTGGGGTGGACAGGAGAGTGATTCCGCGCCAGTTCTTGCAAGCACTGAGGTCTCCCTTCTTCGGCAGTTTGACAAGGTAACCCTTCTTCCAATCGTCAGGTACCTTCTCTTCCTTCCACACCTTCTGCAATAGTGGTGTGAGCATGTCCGCTGTTGTCTCTGCATCTGTTCTCAGTGCTTCTGGCGGTATTCCATCTGGTCCTGCTGCTTTCCCGCATTTCAGTAGCTTTATGGCGTTCAGGACTTCCATTTTCGTTGGGGGATTTATGTTCACTTGTAATTCAGCGGCTGCAGGTGGTATTTCTGGACGAAGTGCAGGTGGTGGTCGATTCAAGAGCTTCTTGAAGTGGTCGGCCCATCGTTTCCTCTGTTTCTCTTCTTTTGTAATTAAATTTCCTTCTTCATCTTTTATTGGTTTCATCTGTGTTGGTCTCTTATTTGATACAATGTCGTCAGGTCTCTCTTACCTGCAGCCTGTTCTGCTTCACTTGCCAGTGTGTCGTAGAAGTGTCTTTTGTCTTTGCGTGCACTCTTCTTCACTTCTTTGTCCAGTGTTTTATACATTGTGCTCAGTTCCTCTTGTCGTTGAGCATCCTTGCACTGGTTTATCTTCTGCTTCACCATCCTCCTCTCCTCTATCAGCTTCCAGGTATCCGTCGAGATCCATTCCTTGTCTTCCCTTCTTCCTTCCTAATACTGTTGTGCAGGTTTCTTTCCACATAGCTTTCAAAGACTTCCAGTGTTCTTCCACACAGGTTTCTTCAGGGATGTCCCTCGACGTCTCCCATTTTGTCTTGATGGCTGCCTTGAAGATCTCCTTTGTAGTTTCATCCTTCAGTTTCCGAGTGTTGTACTTGAATTGAGGTCTATCACCAGCTTCCTTGAAGGCTTTTAACTTGATTTGGAAGGTTCCTTGCACTAGATAGTGGTCTGAACCTACATCTGCTCCTCTTCTTGACCTTGTGTTAAGTAGACTGCGTCTCCATTTTCTTGAGATTGAGATAAAGTCGATTTGATTTTTAGTGTGTCCATCTGGTGAAGTCCATGTCGCTTTGTGGATATCCTTGTGCCTGAACACACTGCCTCCAATCACCAAATCGTTGAATGCGCAGAATTCTGCAAACAATTCTCCATTCTCATTCATTTCACCTAGCGCCTCTCGACCCATGGTTAGTTCTCTTCCCGTGTTGTCCCCTCCCAGTTTGGCATTCATGTCGCCCATTAGAATTTTGATATCGCCAACTGACGTCTTGTCCAGTGTTGATTGAAGTTGTCTGTAGAATTCCTCCTTTTTCTCTTGCTCTGCATTATTTGTAGGTGCATAACATTGTATGATTGTGACCTTTCTTCCTTTTGAGTTGAATCTTGCTGTCATGATCCTGGGAGGAGATTGGTTCCCACTGCATGAGAGCCTTCGATGCTCTTGAGGACATCATGATAGCCACTCCCTCAGTGTGCTCGTGGTTGGCGTCTGGGTGACCGGAGTAGATTATTGATTCTCCAGTTGACAGTTTGGAGAGTCCACTCCCATTCCATCTGCTTTCGCAAATCCCAAGCACTTCGATGTTATACCTTCTCATCTCCTTTGCAATCTGGGCTGCCTTACTGGGTTCAAACATCGTGCGGACATTCCATGTCCCCACGTTTACTTTCGCTTTCATCGAGAGAAGACACATCGGCCAATTGGCTTCCCGAAGGCTTTCACCAACTGGCGTCATTTCGCCTCTCCGATTCCAGCGGGGAATAAGTTTGTTTTCATTTTTTATATTTTGTTTGTGCTTTGAAGTTTCTTTAGCGGTTAGATTTGTTTTACGGGGTAGGGTTGCTAGCCCTATGCCCAACCTTCCCTCTTTACCCGGGCTTAGGACCGGCTAGTAACTAGTAAACTAGTTAACCAGGCGAGGTTACAGAGTTTATTCTGTTAGATGTCAATTCTTTTACTTTTGGATAAACGTCCACAAAAGATTCCTGTGTGAAGGTCTCAACAAAATATCCAGCCATAGCTTCTGCTTTTTCTTGCCGTCCTCATTCAAACTGTCAGTTTCGGTCCATTTGATTAGAGCGGGCATGCCACGACGTATCTTATTTCTGTGGTTCATATAGGAAAATGAACCCTTCGTTTCTGCAATGCAGCCTAGGCAAGACGTGTTTCATAGCATATTCGAGGCCGGCGGATAGCAACGATACATTTATTGCGGGTTTCTTTGCAATGCTTCATCACATTGCGTGTACCCAGGTGGGTCGCAAGACTCCAATACTTTTTCTTAAGTCGTAGCGGGGTTCGGATTTCGTGGTCTATCCATGGAGGACAGTGTTTCTGTCCACTAGAAACAGTCCATGGAATGGACTCGTGCATATAACTGTTTGAAGGAGCACCATGTAGCTTCAAGTGAAGCTTCTGGATTGACTGTCCAGTCCTCCGAAGATGCTGCCAAGTTAATGGGCTCCATATTCGCCTTCCATATGTTTGGTCCAGCTGCGGCATCGGCCTGCTACAGGACGTCTGCTGTGAATCTGAAGATGATCACAGCGTGGTTATTTTTACCAAGGGATGCAAGGTGCTGGACGAAGCGTGCATCATATGTGTGTGAGAACACTAAGTCTAGGACTAATGGAGCATGCTGATGACTGTTTCTTGTTTGTGTGCCAATGTACTGTATGAGGGCTTGGGAAATTGATGTTCCCACTAACTTGTGGTCAGGCGAATTACGTGGTCCCTTTGTCGTTAGTCGATCCCGGTTAACTGATGGTGCGTTGAAGTCTCCTACAACTGGACGTCCGCATTTATCCTTCCAGAGGGTCAGTTTATCCAGGAGGAAGTCTGCTGCATCACATTTAGGGGTTCGATATTATACGATTAAGTTAACATGTCCTTTGCATTTAAGTCAGCAGCGCAGTATTTCACATTTCCCACTTTCATGTGCAACTGCTTCACAGTTTAGGTATTCTTAACGTAAAGGATGGCACCACCACCTATGCATGTCGGCCTGCCTCTTCTAAAATGAAGGAATCCTAGTAAATCTGTTTCGCAGTCACTGATCCAAGAAGAGAGTCAAGTTTCTGAGATAGCAACGATGTCAGGAGTTTCGTTGCCTGTCATATTCCTAAGCCCAGTCCAGTTTTTTAAAGGACTACATGCATTAGTGTACAAGACAATGAAGCTACTTAAATGAGTTTCCGTCCTATCCATTGAGGCTTCGGCATCATTTGTTGCCGAAACCATTTTGTAGTCTGTAAACTTGGCGTATGAAGAAGCTATGAAGCTGCTTAATATACTGAAGCTCCTTTTTCAATTCCTGTTTGTCAGGCCACAACCAATAGAAGGTTAATGTGTGACGGGAAATGGAAGGAAAAAAGATCTGTTCTTAGCGGTATTTTGTGTTGTCTAAAAATTAAAACTACAGCGGTTATTTGATCGAGTCTATTACATATAAATCGTTTCTTATATTTAAATGCGAGAAGAATGCTGCTGACTAGTTTATACTAGCTCGATAAGATGAGACTTTAAGTTGAAACCTTGAAATGTGAAATAACCTTGAGGCCTCACGAGTTTACTGACGCAATAATTTAAACATTTCAGCTTAAGGGGTAATCTAATGAATTCTTCTACTGTATCCTATGGCAGTCCATACAGTAAATACTACCGCCCAGAGTAAATAAAAACAGAATTTCCTCTATCGTTTTAAGCCAAGGTCCCTCAACCGATGTAAAAGCCCATGCATGTTTAATGATTCTTGCGTGGGGTTTCTGTAATCCAAATGCAATAATCATTTCAAGACACTTTAAAAAAGGTTGGCCGGGTCGCACGATTAATAACCTGGCATATTGGTTCCAGTTTCATGTTATTTTACAGTCGTTTACTCTGTCATTCGTCTTACTGGCACTTATGATCATGGTTGTACATGTTATGGGCTATTCAACACTCAGTGAGCTACCCCTAAGTGCTCATCCTCCATGTGGATTTGCAGTCATCACCCTAACGTTTTCGAATGTAAGTTTTATTTCACCTCTTGAAACCTTTAGCCTATTGTTGCTTGGTTTCTCTGCACTACAACTGGACGTCAACGAGCCATAACGAAGTATATTCATCAAGTAACAGGAATCTTATCACAGATGCTGGCCATTCCAACGGCACTCATAGGTTTCCAGATGCCGAGGCTAGGTCACCGTGTTTGTTCGTCCAAAATGTATTCAACAATTTTTATTATTTCTGTGATTCTCAACGCTATCATCGAAGTCACCTTTGAAGTAATTGGATACAAAATCAGAAAAAATGTGCGAAGTAAACATAAAACTCCAGTTATTTTAATAATTAATTCTTCATAGTTGTACAGTCAATGCTGAGCATTGAAGCTGAAGAGGCTAACAAGTTACTTTCTCGGTTTGAAGAAGTGAGTTGAGATGAAATATTTTAAAAATGGTTCGCCCTTTTTTCAATTTCAAACCTGTGGAAGATTTGTTTCATCCCAACACTTGTATACCAGCAGATTTTTTCTGTAACGTGATCTTTGCTGGAACTTGTCTTTTAGTATCCGTCAGAGTTAGAAGTTTATTCACAAAAAATATTTATCAGGTATGAGATTTCTTGACAAGCAAGTCTAGATATATTTTCCGGGTTTTTTTCTTGCCATTAGTGGAAGTTCCATATCTTTGTCAGCTTTAGGCGTGTTGTGATTGGTCGCTTACATCTTGTTTCCCAAGTGAACCTCATTTTCTCTCATATTTATTTGTTAACTTTTAAGATATAAAATACAGTTACAAGTTGGTAAATGGAAATGTTGTAAAAGTGAACCTCACCAATGTCTTTTGAATTGATGCAATCCAGCAAGAAGAAAATGAGAGAAAATTATGCTGAGTACTTGAGTGAAGGGTTTGTACACAGGAAGCATACTATTTTAGGAATTGTCCTGGCGCGAACTTGACAGACGCAAAGACCAATCATTAATTATCCGAGCTTGTTATATACCCAGGAATACGAGACCAAGGAAGAACACGATAGCCTAGTCGGATGGAGTTGTATATTTGGGTGGTTGTGCCAAGATACCGATGCGTTCCAACTAACTGGCTAGAGAGTCGAATACGAGCAGTGCAACGTAACACGATAGCGTGCCAAATGGCAAGGATGCTTGACCGGGTACCTTCAGCTTAGCGAGTCCAGTTAAACTATCAAGGTGAGCATCTATGTCGAATGTTGTTGAACCCTAGGCTATTGATTCTGGGGAATTGTGTGACGCTACAGATCACTCCCCGTCACAGTGGGTCCATGGGGACCCTAAGACGATACCAGCGGGAAGTAAGAACCCAGTGGTTTCTCCACTGGTAAAACTCTTCCGATGGGCTCACTGCGTGAAGTGGCCCCTGGTTGTCTGAACTTATTCTAGGGTGTCGTGGCAATTAAATAATAGAATAAAATAAATCGAATTGTACGTCGATCGCGGTCGTCAGTTTCTATTGACGTTCCGTTCAGTGCTCTTCGCACCTGGAATATAAATAAGTCTTTTTAGTACTTCGAAAACCTTTCTTAAAATTGGGAATTATTCATGTATAAATATATCGAAAATAAAGATTTACGCTCATTTTCACCGTTTTTAAAAAAAATGTTTCATTACGTGGTAGTAAAAATTGACATAAAAAGGCAAAATGTACGAGGATTTGTACTTTGCCGGTAAATGAGAAAAATGGTGCCCCGAAAAAATTTTTTTAATTTAAAAATATGGTTGGCACACCTTATTTCACACCACTAAGTTGAATACGACTTTAAATACTCCGGGAGCCTAATGGTTCGACCTGATCGTGTTTTCTGTTGCACCGATGGTTGTTGTAACTGTGCGTTACCAGGCTCATCGTCAAGAATTTCGATAATTAAACTATCCGCTGGTGATTTTTTGGCGTTAAGCTCTCCATGATCACCGGTTGGACGCCAGTCATTGCTATCCTTTTTGGGAACCATGTGCAATGGTGATGCCCAAGGACTATTTGACGGTCTGATTATGTCCAGTTCGAGTATGTGGTCGAATTCACTCTTCGCCGTCTTGAGCTTATCGAGGGCTAGACGGCGCGCTTTGGATACCACAGGTGTACCTGTGGTTGTGACGTGATGCATAACACTGCTGGTTATGCACGGAAGAGTATGATTCGGTTGTTGAAACTCCGGATATTTCTCCAAAAATGCCTGGTAGGACGCGTCGCCTGATTGTTTGGTTCTAACGATGGCTAAACCCGGACCTACATGGGTGGTGCCGCCAATAGATAACTTTGTGTTGTTATCTATCAGACATCGACGACGAGCATCTACGAGTAAATCGTAGTGGTTTAGCAAATCTATGACAATGATGGGCATAGAGACGTCAGCCAGGAGGAAAATCCAGCGGATAGGTTTACGCAGACCTAAGTTGAGGTAGGCATACTGTCTCCCAAATGTCGCGATTGCCTTGCCGTTGGCTGCTTGAAGATTGAAGGATGGGTCAAGATGACGCTCCTCTGTCGGTGAGGGAGGAACGCTAACTTCTGCGCCGGTGTCAACGATATAGCGAACTTTCGTTTTTATATCCGTGACATAGAGCAAACGGCTGTTTCCGTCGGCTACGGCTGCCATGAACACGTGTCGGCGTGACAGTTTCCCGAGTTTATGCCCTTGTTAAAACTGCATGGTTTTCGATATTTTCTGGCTTCGTCTCCGTAAGTATCATGAAACCAGCACCATTTCGGGTTTTCCACCCTGTTAGGTTTAGTTTTAGGGCAACCATGTGAGTTACTGCGATGCGCTAGTATGCGTTTCTGTGAAGTGCTACATAAACCAGGACTTCGAGATCGTAGCAACTGTTTCACAGAGTTACACAGCTTTGTCACCTCTGAATCCTGGCGCTCTGGTTTGTCGCAGACAGAATATATTTTGGAGACGGGTCTGCCAGCAATCTCCAGTATTTTATCTGCCGAGGCTGCCAGATCATCGAGTGGGACTGACTGCAGTGTCACCAACACGGTTTGTACCGGTTGTGGTAGTTTTGAGAGAAATAGTCCTCGGAAAAGGCCATCGTCGAATGTTCGTCACCCACAACTTCTCGCATGCGTGAGAGGACTTCAGTAGCTGAGTGGCTGCCTATCTCGCTGTCATGAAGCAGTTCGTCTAGGCGCTGGCGATCTATGAGATCACTTTCCTTCAAGAGTGCGGCTTTGAGAAGTGTATAAGGATCACTTACTTCAGGACTAAACATGTGTGCCGTAACATGCCTGTTTAATTCCCGCGGTAGTGAGTGTATGATGGCAAGAAACCGAGAATGAGGATCTGAGACGCCCTGTCCTCGAAAATCTGCCTCGGCATACAGAAACCATGTTTCTGCATTGTCTGGCCAATATGGTACGAGTTGGATCGTGTTCGTAGTCGGCTTAATAAGAATAAGCTTAGGAGTGTGGTCGGATATGAGAAAATGTAGTAAATGGACAAATAAATGTTATCGAAATGAAAACAATATACAAGTATAAAATGGAACAGGCTCACCAATTCAATATTTGCTATTGGTCGGGATATGTGATCACGCCGGGCTCACCAATTTAGGAATTGTCTTGGTGCGAACTTGACAGACGCAAAGACCAATCATTAATTATCCGAGCTTGTTATATACCCAGGAATACGAGACCAAGGAAGAACACGATAGCCTAGTCGGATGGAGTTGTATATTTGGGTGGTTGTGCCAAGATACCGATGCGTTCCAACTAACTGGCTAGAGAGTCGAATACGAGCAGTGCAACGTAACACGATAGCGTGCCAAATGGCAAGGATGCTTGACCGGGTACCTTCAGCTTAGCGAGTCCAGTTAAACTATCAAGGTGAGCATCTATGTCGAATGTTGTTGAACCCTAGGCTATTGATTCTGGGGAATTGTGTGACGCCACACTATCTTATTGACCAGGTGCGTTAATCACTCAAATGGCAAGGATCAGTATGACATATCTTGATATTTAAAGCCTCATTCCATAAAACGCACTGATTTTTAGTTCTGTTGAAATTTATATATCTTATCAAAGTGTATGAGTCATTTGCTTAAAACTCAACAACTATATGGTTTCCTTACGAAATATGACTGGGATTTGTATGCATTTCACAATTTTTGCCTTTCGGGTGTCATTCTGTGTCATCAATCAACTCAACACAGAAACAAAATGCAATGGAATTTCCTAACTTAACTAGGATGTCGTCTACATTTGTCAACAGAAATGGATGTTCTGTTCCCAGATGTCACCAACATGTAAAACTCTTTGCTCCAAATAATAATATGTTATTTCACATAGTTATGCCACAAGTGAAATTCTCGTTCAGGCTTGCTAGAAATTTCACTTTTTGTCTCGTAGAGCATGATGATGGACTACGGATGCAGCGTTGTCCAGGATTTACTTTTCCTTCATTTTGTCAAGTCTTTGATCTTCCTGTTTTGAATATAAATAAATAGTAAAAAGCCGTAAGGAAAATTTTCATTCAGCTAAGCCTTACAAGGAAATGTATCAAGGTTACTGTTTATATTTGATTAGTGTTTGTTAATTCCATTTGAACACAAAATCACCGAGTTGGTTTTAGTATTCAAAACATTCTATTTTTAATCGACAGGTAATTTATTGCTACCTGAGTGTTTCAAACAAGGTTACATATAAAAACTTTAAATTGTTTGGGACTAGTGTCCGTTTCTTATAGTCACTGTATTCTTTGAGTATCTGACCTTTTTTCTAAATTTCTGTATCTCTTTGTGTAAAATGGAACCGAAGGAGGTAATTATAGTAAACAGAACATATCTTCAACTCCTGCACAGAATATCTTTGTAATCTTACCGAGTATAAGATGATCTAGTCTTAGTTTATTTATTACGTAAGAAAGTTCCCATGTGTGTTTTTGGGACACGATAAGTTTTCGCTTGTCATAGATTTAAATCATTAGTTTTCGGTAGCAAACCTAATATGCCCAAATCATGAATACTGTATGTTATGTATTGCCCAAGGACAAAACACGTTTCAGTTTCCATGGTTTCTTGCTGTAAATCAACTTGAAGGAGATATTTCTAGTCAAAAGTTCAACTGCATTTGCACAAATTCTATAAACCTCACAAAGTTTGCATATGTTTATTTGTTAGTAAAAGGTACTAATCACTAATTTGGCTTACTTGTTCATTACTCGCCAGTATGAGATTAAGAAATAACATCATATTACTCCAGCGAGAAAAAATTATGCTTGTGGATTTTTCAACTTAATCCGAATGTGTGAGGTAATTCAATGATCAGGACAGTACACGAGCGTATAACTACAGTATACCTAATGGCTTGAATCCTTTATAGCATTCTCTCAGTAAAACAGATCCGTTAAAACTGTGTATACGAATTTAATTTGTAACTTTGATCCATCACTTTGCCCAAATTATACCTCTACAGTGATTCCTAACAAAAAACACTCAGTAATCTTGCACAGTGATAGCTTTTAGGTTTAAAAAAGGCGAATGAACTCTGTAAGCTTTCAGTCATCTTGCATATTGGACAATTTGACATATAAAAACCAAAGGAGAAGTCATTCTCTAAGAAAACCGGATAAATATTTCATTAAAACTAAGAGAATTTACTTATTTAAAGGTTTTGTTGTATGAAACATATTTTAGCAGTCATCAAATGGGTTAGTTCCTACTGAGTGATGATTGAAGGTGAGGGTTAGTTTCGGTTGTGTTGCAAGCTTTATGATATTTTGCATGTAGGAGTTTGTTACCATGATAAATACTTATCTGTAGAAAAGTGTTTTATATATGCCTCTTGTACTTTGCAACCAATCACAATAGCTGTAATACGTGGATCATCCTTTTCATTTGACGGTTACTAGAGGAGTGCATCATGTAGCCAAAAGTAAGGTTACAGCAAAATAAAGTGGTGGCTAATGTCTTCTGCAGTCTTCCATGTCCTCTTGTAATCCCAAGAGATATTTCTGTGAGAAAAGGTATGGAATTCGGTAGCATTGTAGAAATGAGTCAACGAATGTAGATAAATCAATCCATGAATG